ATAAAAATGAAATAAAAAACTGAAAGTATTTAAATTAAATCAATTAAAAATATTTTTTGAATTTTTTCATAATAAAAAATAAAGACCCAAAATGACCGAAAACGATAAAAAAACGGACGAAAATTTATCCGAAAAAATAAAATGAACACATTAAAATAAACTACATGTCACAAAGATTAAAGAAAAAATATTCAAAAAAAGTAAAAATAGGAATAAAATGATAATGAAAATACCAGGCTAAACAGACGTTTTACGGTTAAAAACGAGACTTCAAACTGTATCGAAAAAATAAAGCGAGCATACCGTCATAATCTATGCGAGATGCAGATTCATAAAATGATCGGTAAAAGGTGAAAACTTGAAATATTTTTCTCGCTAATTTTTCGCACATTGTTGAATCGCTTTTAACAGTTTGTCTATAAAACCAAAATATTTTTATTATCGACATATAAACAACTTGGAGCAATGCAAGAAACGAGTAAAGAGATAAAAATGCATGAAGTGAAATGTTAGGTATTTTTTTAACTAAAAGACGATGCAAACTTTGATTTAAACTGACTTTTCTGGTCAACTTAAATACGACTAATGATGCAAAATATGATGAATGAAGATATTTACTAATGATTGTGACCAAATGACAAAATATGGTATGAATGTGCGACTGAAAAAATTAGGGGCGAAATTAAGGGTGCAACGGTGTGCCTTGATGAATCAGTCTTCGAGAATCCACAATCAACCGTACTTCTGGCTTGGGAGACTCAAAACCTTAGTTTAGGCGCGACACCTGATGCTCTTGATTCAGACTTGTCCCTGCACATGAAACAAAAGAAAACATGAACATACACCTTTGTATGCGATTAGAAATTAGTGATACATAGGCTAAAAATGTTCAAAACACTTGACAATCTTCACATAGTCAAAGCTCGAAGGTGAGAGGTTAAAACCGACCGTATTTAGTGACCTTGACTTTTGTATAAAAAATGCAAAAATGCAAGTGGGATCTTAGGTCAAAAATTGGGGTATGACAGCTGCCCCTATTTAAGTTTCTTCTATCTGACGAGATTGAAGGGACTTAAATATAGAATACATAATTTTTGGCCTTAAGATACCGCGATTATGTTCATGATATGATATGAATGTAATGCTCTGAATTTTATGGGGAATGACGCCATATAAGACAGACTATGCTGGAGAAACCAAGCACATTATAGTAATCCTACAGGGGAACAAATTATAACATCACTGGGGAAACAAAGTCATAGACTTCAAATGAGAGACTCTTGAATGATTTACATCAGTATTGAGACTGGAGAAGGGAAAGGATTGACATTAACATTGTGAATGGAAAAGGAAATGATTGACATCAGTACTGAGACTGGAAAATGATTGACATCAGCACTGTGGCTGGAAAACAAAATGATTGACATCAGCACTGTGGCTGGAAAACAAAATGATTGACATCAGCACTGTGGCTGGAAAACAAAATGATTGACATCAGCACTGTGGCTGGAGATAAACATCTCTGATTTCTGAATTTTACCAAGAACGGTAACACATTTCTTCTCTAACCAAGATATCGCTTGAAAAGGATAAAATAACAAACTTCCCCACGGGACTTTTCCGAAGGGATGCCATTTACTGAGTAGACATTATTGTTGGGGATACACAAGCTGCTCAAATAAAGAGGCCGCCACTTGCTTCCTTTCAAAGGTGTCAATAACATACAAGCTGCTCATGAAGAGACCGCCACTTGCTGTCTTCAAAGAATATTAAAGCACATAAGCTGCTCATGAAGAGTCCGCCACTTGTTGCCAAAAACCCACAAGCTGCTCATAAAGAAGCTGCCACTTGCTGTCTTCAAAGAATATCAAAGCACACAAGCTGCTCATGAAGAGTCTGCCACTTGTTGCCAATAACCCACAAGATGCTCATGAAGAGCTGCCACTTGCCATCTTCAAAGAATATTAAAGCACACAAGCTACTCATGAAGAGTCCGCCACTTGTTGCTTATAACCCACAAGCTGCTCATGAAGAGCTGCCAGTTGCCATTTTCCATACAAGCTGCTCATGAAGAGCTGCCACTTTCCGTTTTCCAAAGAAAAATAACGTACAAGCTACCCATGAAAGGACTGCCACTTGCCGTTTTTTCGAGGTGTCAATAATATACAAGTTGCCTCGGGAAGAGACTGCCGCTTGCTGTTTGTCAAGAGTATCCATAACACACAAGTTGCCTCATGAAGAGACTGCCGCTTGCTGTTTCCCAAAAAGATACCCATAAAATATCATGAAGATATTGCTGGAGGTGAGAACCAATAATTTCATCGGGGATGGACAAATTGCTCATGAAGAGACCGCCATTTGTCATAAAGAAATCAGAAATAATCAAACTGCTCAAATAAAGAGTCAGTCGCTTGTTGTCATGTCGATATTCCAGAAGAAGGTTGTGACAACACTACTAGGGAATAAAGTTCATCTTCAATGGGAAACCATGAATGGATCCTTCCTGAGAAGACCAAGTATTTACATTGCAAAATAAATGCACTCTCCATCTAGGTTTCACAGCCTAGAGATATCCACAGGGTATCATTCACAAGAGACAAAGCTCAATCCAGGAATAAACTAGAGAGAAAAACAGTCAAACAAGACTCCACCCAATGAGGAAACAACTCAAATGGGGATTTATCCTATCCATAGATGGAAAAGGAAAGCTAAAGCAAGATTCTTCCACGAGAGTTAACTCAGTGGGGAATTAGAAAGAAGGCGCACTTTCTGCTTAAGTTGGCACTCTACTTGGAAAGATCAAATACATTATTTGAATAGACACAACCAAGGTATACGAACTCAATGACATCGACAAATACAACTGTGCGTGCATGATGCAAGTGTGAATGAATAAATGAATGCCATGTATGTGCTGACAAAACAAATAGACAAGATAAACTGGAGATGATAAGACATCATAGCACAACCCAACACTCGACTAATCTCAACAGGATGGGAACATTACTGGAGATAAAACACATGCCATCATTGGAACAAGGTCCTTTTACAAGGCTTAAATATCTCTGGAGAGGAAGATATTTTCAGGTAGAAAACCTGAAGTCCAGTCTTCTATTGCAAACAATCCATTGAAAGGATAACAACACAAACAAAGTTTCCGCTGGAAAGAAGTATTGCTTAGCTGGAGATACTGGGAACACCACCCTCTGATAATGTGTGCAATACATATCACATATCTTGACAAATCTAGATTGCCCCTGGGACCAATTTTGGATGCCCCAAGTTTACTGCTGATGGGCTGCATGTTGCACGACAATTCTTGCGAATAGCTTCACTTCTAACATGCCCCAAGCTATCTGGTTGATGAGGAGAAATTGTCTCAAGAGGATTTTACAAAAGACCTGGCATTCACCATGCTCTGGTGTCTTCAAACTCTTAGAGAAATTCATCAAATCTCGACGTGATTGCCCCGGATTGACTGTAGTTGGCACAACAAAGTCTTCAAATTTTGCCCCAAAAGAGTAAACAAGTTGGGAAAGCATTAATTAGGAGAAGCAACACGTCCGTGCTTAAGGTCTTCAGGTGACATGCCCCTGCATATGATTTTTATTGAAATGATCCGCCAATTACTCAACAGAGCTTAAGGCCTTAAGAATAGACTCATCACTGGTGCTTATATGTGAGTTTCCTTGATATCAAACAAATGTTTTGCAATTAGAAAATTTTATTATGAGAATGAAAATTCTAATGCAACAGTTATGTAAGTCTTGAAGATTTTGAAAAGATATCGCACAAATTTTACGAGTTAGAGCATCATTTATTTTTGTATAGGAAAAACATATGATACCAACATAACTATTTAGAACATTCATGGGAGTCAGGAACACTATCTCATTGAAGTATGCTTTCAAAATAACCTTGCTTCAATTAGGACTTTTGAAGGCTGTAATGTGGTCTGGTTCATGGTTTTAGAAAAAAGGATTTAAGGCTCAAAATATTTGGTGCCCACCCCCTTCATGATGTTCTCCAATCCTATGTTCAGTTAATTCAATATGAGCGTTCATCTCTCAAAAGGATTTTGTGACGGTTAAGGAAACGACGAGATTTTCGGAGTAGAAACCACCCTCGTGTCTTCGTGTTTGTAGTCACCAATTTGTTCTTTGTTGAGGACTTTTATTTGTAGTCCTTTCTTTGCAATTTTTATTTTCCCTAATTTTTGCATGAACTAATTTTTTGAATTGATAGTCCAGCGGGATGCCTTAATTTTGCCTAAGTCACACGTTTTCATGTTTTTTTTGACTTAGCAGGCTTTTCTTTTTCTTGATTTTTGACTTTTTGAACAAAATGTGTGACATTAGCTTGTCTTTGCTTGTTGAGAGGATTGTGATTGCCTCGTTTCTTGATGAATGAGGGATAACATTGTGGTTCCACATCCTCTAGATTCATTATACATGAAGGATAGGCCTCGTAGTTTCTCTTCAAAAAACATCTTCCTTATGAATTTTGAACACTCAGTCAGATTAACTAAAAACTACCCTGCCCCAGGTTAAAATTCAAGGTTTTTTCGTATAGAAAAGAAACTTCTGCTTCAAAGGCTCAAAAGGGGTTAGCAAGGGATTATCTTCCTTATATCTCCGGTGTTTAGGGATTTGAAACAATGCCTGTACATCATCAGCAAGATTTTATCCAAAAGCAAACAAACAGAGATTTTGTGTTCTTTAGATCATCATCCTCCCTTCAATCTCTGCCTAGGCAAGAGAATGGGCAACAAGTTGGTATCATAATGCCAAAAGAAACTTAAAATTTGAAAACAAATATGAGTGAAACGAATGAATTTCTTCAAGACAAACATACTCATTGTATTAAGATAATCATACAGATGCAAACAAGTTCTTACATGCAAACAATATTTTGATAAACAAGAAAAATTACAAAAAGCAGAAATAAGTTAATGATCGGGGAAGGCTTTCCATCTGGACTTGAATCACCGAAAACATCCTTCAAAACTCAAAGTGACCATCAATCGTGTTTACTCTTCGGCACGTGCTTGATTTGAACTTCAAAACCAACATCCTTGAATGACAATCAATGAATACTTTTATCATCGCTTCCTCCTTCTTAGAAGGACTGACTTGGGCAGCAACCAAAATTTCAACCAAAACAGTTGAGTGATCCATACCAGCTTTCAAATTAGTCACCTCTTTGCGGAGTTCAGAAATCTCTTGCTTGACATTCTCCATTGTTCTCTTAGCGTCAGTGTTGTACTGGTGAGACCAAAGGAAAAATAAGACTTGGAAAAAGACCTTTGAAAGTGAAACAAAAAATGTAGAATGATGCATGATATGCAAAGAGAGAGTTTTTATCTGACTTTCAAGGAACTCAAGATATTAAGTTGTAAACATCAAAGTATGAAGATAGAAGATGAATTTTGAATTGGATCAAAGTGTTGATCAAGTTATCATCAAGATCAATCATCCATTTTGGTGGATTAGGGTTTTCACCCTATCAACACCCAAGATCCATTGAGCTTGACGAAACTTGTGATGTTTACAAAGAAAGACCTCCAAATTCCTTGAAAGTCAAGTGAAAAGGGTTTTATGGATGCATGAATGCATGGCTATGCAACAACCACAAGCAAGGTCACAAATAAAGTTGAAAGGTTCAACGTCACGAGCATGGAGTCAAAGGTAAAGAACATCCCCAAGGTATGTACTAACGGTTTAATCACACCTGCAAGACAAGGTTCTAAGAGTTCCCGGAGTCTACATTCCTCCTTCGGATATTACCAACGTCTTGATTACTCAATAATCAGCAATATTCTCAAGAGAAACTCATCCGAGCGTAGCATCGCGTGACAACTACTTCCGGATTACTCCGTTATAATCTCCGCGCTACACCTAAAAGGCCAAGGTGGGTTAAGGGTTCTACGATTCTCAGCTTCTTTGGCTCGCAGGTCGAAAATAATAATGTCTTCCCGATTACTCGGTAAACAAATATTACATTCAAAAGGGCCTTCCACTGAGTGGGGGATCTCATGCCTCCTTCTTCGGGATTACTCCCTCAAAGTTAACATGACTATACCGCCCGTCCTATTCCTAAGTGTAACTTAGTCCGGGTATAGGACTTGTCCTTCGCAAAAACCCAAATAATATATCACAATTAATCAAACAAACAAGTAATAATAACAAAAACAAATATGACAAATTAGGCTTAACCCACTTTAGGGATGGACCAGCAAGAGGTCAATTATTCCCCAGCAGAGTCGCCAATTCTGTAGCGGTGAAAATCGGAGATCAAGCTATTAATTAACTTGACTCACAAAAGCAAGAGTCGCCACCGCGCTTTATTATTTCCAAGGGAAAAGGGAAAAGAGCGAAATAAAGCCCTAAAATATGCAATGTAAAGTAATATTTAAAAGTAATGAAAATACAATGCATTTTTAAAAGAGATCGAGAGTTCGGGGGTTGGTTATACAATGGGAAGATATTAGCACCCAATGCATCTGCGGTACTTCGCAGGAACCTTTTGAAATATCTGCTTTTTGGTTAAAATTGTTTGTTTAGTTAAATGGGTATGGATGAGATTTTGAAGATATGACGACCTAGTGTTGAAGTTTTGACTTAAAAGGGGTGTGAGTTTAAAAATTGATTTGTAGGAGATTTGTCTTAAGAGTAACAAAACTAAAAAAAAGTATGAAGGGATTTCACATAATCGTATTAGATACTCGATGACATGAAGTCAACAAATTAATTCTTTCCCTTGGATTTAAAGTCACAGACGGATAAATGAGCTAAGAGTATATCAAACCTTAGGTGAAAATAAATCACAAGCCGACAGCATCAAAAAAACCTAATGTGAGATAATACTCCAAGCATCAGATAAAGCGCAAAGGACGATCGATAAAGCTCACGGTATCAGATAAGGCTCAAGATATTAAATAAAGCTCGCGGTATAAGATTCCCTGCATCACATGAAATATACAGACAAAACTAACAGCACGGGAAAACTTATGTGCGTCCGTACAATTTTCAGAAGTTAGTTGGAATTAAAATTAAAATAGCAACACAATGAAAATAATATTTACATATCCTGAATTTATTTACAAATGAAGTGAATAAAATATACAGTCAACAGTATTATGTATAATTATATATTTACATTACCTAATATTAAATCGAAATGGTAAAATAAAATAATACAAAAAATACAAATGATAAAGTATAGAAACGTAAAATTCAAGTGGGGTATCTAAAGTAAATGAAACAACGGGCTTAGTGGAACTTTAGCCCAAACAAACAGCAACATACAACCCATATATTATTAACAATTATAAACAAAATAACTATATAAACAAAGAAATGATAATAATCATAAAATCAAATTAATTTAAAAAAAAAGAAAAGGAAAAGTGGAATTACGGTGATGTTGTTGTTCGTAGAAGAGACGAAAAGAGTGAGATATAGGGTGGCTTGTGGAATTAGTAACGTGGAGAGAGGGAGTTGCTGGAAATTGAAATTGAAAGTGAGTTTTTGTAGTGTTGTTGATTGGGTGAAGCTAGAGAGAAAGGAGTATGGTTACTGTTGTTTGTGAGAAGAAAAGAGAAGATGGATAGAAAGTTTATGAGAGAAAGTAAATTACTGTGTTGTATTTTTTGTTTTGTTGCGTGTCCTCTACAAAAGAGAAATAGTTCTCTTTAAATAGCAAAAGTGAAGAAGAAAATTGATTTCAATAATTAATCTCATCCGTTCAAAATAAACTCAATCTGTATCAATCCACAACTATTGCTATCAACCAATAAGAAAAAAGCAAAGTGTAATTAATTATTTTTATGACAAAAACGCCCTTAAATGATAAAAATGAAATAAAAAACTGAAAGTATTTAAATTAAATCAATTAAAAATATTTTTTGAATTTTTTCATAATAAAAAATAAAGACCCAAAATGACCGAAAACGATAAAAAAACGGACGAAAATTTATCCGAAAAAATAAAATGAACACATTAAAATAAACTACATGTTACAAAAAGATTAAAGAAAAAATATTCAAAAAAAGTAAAAATAGGAATAAAATGATAATGAAAATACCAGACTAAACAGACGTTTTACGGTTAAAAACGAGACTTCAAACTGTATCGAAAAAATAAAGCGAGCATACCGTCATAATCTATGCGAGATGCAGATTCATAAAATGATCGGTAAAAGGTAAAAACTTGAAATATTTTTCTCGCTAATTTTTCGCACATTGTTGAATCGCTTTTAACAGTTTGTCTATAAAACCAAAATATTTTTATTATCGACATATAAACAACTTGGAGCAATGCAAGAAACGAGTAAAGAGATAAAAATGCATGAAGTGAAATGTCAGGTATTTTTTTAACTAAAAGACGATGCAAACTTTGATTTAAACTGACTTTTCTGGTCAACTTAAATACGACTAATGATGCAAAATATGATGAATGAAGATATTTACTAATGATTGTGACCAAATGACAAAATATGGTATGAATGTGCGACTGAAAAAATTAGGGGCGAAATTAAGGGTGCAACGATGTGCCTTGATGAATCAGTCTTCGAGAATCCACAATCAACCGTACTTCTGGCTTGGGAGACTCAAAACCTTAGTTGAGGCGCGACACCTGATGCTCTTGATTCAGACATGTCCCTGCACATGAAACAAAAGAAAACATGAACATACACCTTTGTATGCGATTAGAAATTAGTGATACATAGGCTGAAAATGTTCAAAACACTTGACAATCTTCACATAGTCAAAGCTCGAAGGTGAGAGGTTAAAACCGACCGTATTTAGTGACTTTGACTTTTGTATAAAAAATACAAAAATGCAAGTGGAATCTTAGATCAAAAATTGGGGTATGACACAAATACACATGCTAAAAGCCTAAATATAACTGAACAAGAATTATACAACTAACAATAATCTGCACTATATCATGAAAACAAATTAAACTTTTTAAGACATGTTATTTGTTTTTCGATTGAAATGGATGGGAATGTTAGAAAGAAGAAAAAAAATGAAACCTTGAAGGTAGAATCTATAAAGTTGATATTTTAATGTATGAGAAAAAACTAAAAACCATTGCAATGGTCGGAAAAAAAAATCAAAGGCCATTGTAATAATGAATTTCATGAATGCATGTAATTATTTCAGTATACCCTAATACTTGTAGACTATTTAGTGAGATAATTAAGGTATAAAAAGACTATTAGACCTATAAAATAAAAGTTATTTTAAAATTAGATTTAAAATAAGAATATATATCCTCTAGACACTATTTTAAATAATTTTTACTTTTTTGATAAATTTGATTATCAATGTATTGATGTATATAGATCAAATATGTTGATAATATAATATTAAAAAGTAAAAATTATTTATAATACTGGCTAAAAGATGTAATTAAATAGGTTACTGACTTTCTTATATAAATATCAGATAGAGCTTAACTCTGGTCCATTTCTATTTTCTCTCTCTCTCTTCTCGTACAATAATTAGTTTCTATCTTCTCGTACAATAATTAGTTTGTGTTTTTTATTGTATCACCAAAAATGATAGTAATTCCACAAGACTCTTGACTAAACGTAGGGACTCCCAGTCGATTCTAGTGTTTTCCATAACATGCAAGTTATTCAATCCCACGCGGCACCATTTCGAGAATCTTATCATAACCATTGGATCATTTCACAGTGACACGTGTTAGTCACAAAAACCAAGATCTCTCTACTTGCATGATCAATCACAGCCACAACAATTTCTTCAAAAATCACAATGTCTCCTTCTACTTCTACCACCTCCCTTTTATTATATATACCCCTTCACCTCCACAATTCAACTCACAACACAATCATCAAACAAACTCTTACAAACTCTTAGCATTCTCTTTTCAAACTCTCTCTATAACACAGTTTTTAGCACTACAAAAAAATGGCACCGGAAATCGTTCAAAACGCGGTCAAACCAGTTACCCGATTCACGAAACCGAAACGTGCATATGTAACGTTTCTCGCCGGTAACGGTGACTACGTGAAAGGCGTAATTGGTTTGGCCAAAGGTTTACGTAAAGTAAAAACGGCGTATCCGCTTGTTGTAGCCGTGCTTCCTGACGTACCGGAGGAGCACCGTGAGATGTTGGAATCTCAGGGATGTATCGTCCGGGAAATCGAACCGGTTTACCCACCGGAAAATCAGACTCAGTTTGCTATGGCTTATTACGTCGTCAACTATTCCAAACTCCGTATATGGGAGGTATACACTTCCTCATTCTCTTATTCTATATTTTGATGCTATTATATTATTATTATTACACGTGTAAAATTTGTTTACATGTGTCACACATTCTTTTTCTTTTTTCAAGAGAAAAAAGTTATTATTGAATATTAATTAATAATTGAACTATACTTATGTTACAGTTTGTGGAGTATAGCAAGATGATATATTTGGATGGAGACATACAAGTATATGAAAACATAGATCATCTTTTTGATCTACCAGACGGTTATTTCTACGCTGTGATGGATTGTTTTTGTGAAAAAACATGGAGTCATACACCACAGTACAAAATTGGGTACTGTCAGCAGTGTCCGGAGAAGGTGCAATGGCCGAAAGAAATGGGTCAACCTCCTTCACTTTACTTCAATGCTGGCATGTTTCTGTTTGAGCCTAGTGTTGAGACTTATGATGATCTTTTGAAAACTTGTCAAGTTACTGCTCCTACTCCGTTTGCAGAACAAGATTTCTTGAACATGTATTTTAAGGATGTTTATAGGCCAATTCCTTTGGTTTATAATCTTGTTCTTGCTATGTTGTGGCGTCATCCGGAGAATATTGAGGTTCGGAAAGTCAAGGTTGTTCACTATTGTGCAGCGGTAAGTAATTTATCTCTACACAGCTATTAACTGAATTATTTTAAATTTTTTGATTTTTAATTCTAATGTTATTGGGTTTGTTGTTTTCCTTTAGGGTTCAAAGCCTTGGAGGTATACAGGGAAGGAAGATAATATGCAGAGGGAAGATATAAAGATGTTGGTGCAGAAATGGTGGGATATATACAATGATTCTTCACTTGACTACAAGAAGAATTTGAGTGGAAATAGTGACACACAAAAGAATGATGTTGAAGAGCCATTTGTACAGGCTTTATCGGAGGTTGGTCGTGTTCGATACGTCACAGCACCTTCAGCAGCTTAAGTGAGCTCTTTTTAGGAATAAGAATGAGGAGGTGCAACCGAGCAAGATATTGCTGTCGGTGCTAATAGTCAAATAGAATATAGAATTCTAGTTCTGTGTGTTTTGTTTTTTTTTGTTTTTGTTTTTAATTTGGGAATATTGATAATTTGGTTTTGTACATACGCCGTCTGTATCTGGCTTGTATTTTCAGGTATATATTGTTGTGCTTTTTTTATGGTATATTTAATTTTCTCTATTGTAATTGTAACATATATCAAATATACTTTTGAGGTTTGTTATTATGACACAAAAAACCTACACCATTCACCTACACCGTATGAAATACCATGCGTATCTGTTTTCTTTGTATAAGAACAAAGAAAAATTAATAATTAAATATTCTAAAAAAACACAACCGTATAATACTACGGTGTAAGTGTCACCTGTAATGTAAAAATAAGATTTCTTTATTGTTAAGAGGTTGTAACAACAACTCTTATTTAGAAGTTTTGAATAAATAATCAATTTTCATTTTTTTTAACAAAGATAAATGGGCAAAAAAATTTAATAAATAATCCATTTTCATTTTTTTAACGACTATACAAAATTTTTTTAACGACGATACAAAAAAATCGAAAAATAAATGGAAAATAGAGAGTATATTAAAAAATAAAAGGTCCAATTATGGACAATAAATTGCGTCATTTATATGGAGAAATCAATCTTCTTTTTTATATGACAAAATCATTATTAATACAAATACAATAGAAGTTATTTGTTTGAATGATTTAGAAAATGTTAAATCAATTAACTAATAAGAAATGGTTAAGTGTGATACTTGCTCACAAATTTTCAAACGGTCACTAACAACAATTAAGAAAATTCATAGCTAATCAAACTATTAAAGTGTGACACTTTGCTCCCACTTGCAAAATTTTCAAACTGTTACTAACAACAATTAAGAAAAATTGTGACACTTTGCTCATATTTGCAAAATTTTAAACTGTCACTATTCACTAACAACATTTAAGAAAATTCAAAATCCACTAACTAGCCAAAAATGTCATTACACTTTGCTCACACTTGCAACACTTTTAAATAGGGGTGTTATCTAGGAACATTAGATGAGGGTTACGAGTTCTGATGACTGATTAAAAAATAAGTTATTTTAGACATGATTTTTTTAAAAATTTATAGTTTATTTGACAACAAAAATTCATTTGATAATATTGTATTCATCACAAATTTATAGCTTATATTTTTTCTTTTTTTATTTTATTATTTTAACTATAATTCACTATTATCTTTTATAATTTATTTAAATTTAAAATAAAACAATTATATATTAAATATATTTTATATCATTTTAATTTTATTATCAAACACTCAATGAGTTTTAACTATCAATTTTAATATCAATTATAAACTATAAATTATTTGTCATCAATCATAAAATATAAATTATTAGTTAACTTATCAACTAACTATTATTTTTACTATTGATATAATATATAATATATAGTATGTTAAAATTTAATATTACAAAACTAGAAAACTTGATTATTATTAAAATAAATAAATTAATAAAAATAAACAAATTAATAAAAATAAACAAATTAAATTAAACTAATAAATAGTTAAAAAATAAGTATTATTTAATAAATTAATACAATATATTATATTGATAAAAAATAAATTTTATATATATATATATATATATATATATATATATATATATATATATATATATATATATATATATATATATATATATATATATATATATATATATATATATATATATATATATATATATATATATATATATATATATATATATATATATATATATATATATATATATATATATATATATATATATATATATATATATATATATATATATATATATATATATATATATATATATATATATATATATATATATATATATATATATATATATATATATATATATATATAAACTGTTTTTTTAAATGATATTCAAACAAATTCAATAATATTAAAGAATTTTTTTTAGAATAACTAAGTATTAAAAAAAATTTCGCAAATAACTATGTTTCAGAAAAAATTACGCAAATAATCATGTTTCAGAAAATCCCACAAGGGAGGAGCCAATCCAGTTGGCGTCTACACCTTATTTTGAAGGGGAGGTGCCATCTCACTTGACGTCTAGGAGTGAAAGGCTTGCCCTAAGCCAACTGAGATGGCGCCTTAGTGTAATTGGGAGGCGATTTTTTGCGTTTTTTATTTTAAATGCGGTGCGTTACGTAAACGATATAGGATCAACAAAATTGACTTTTTATCTGCACAATATAATTACACACATAACGATTACATAAAAAAATACATATTAATTAGTGGTCTCCCAGAACCCGGTAATCACTCCTGGTTCCGCATTCCCGTCCTCGTCTTTCCCGTGCTGGGTTTCGTCGCGTTTCCTGTTGTGGCAGGGTCGATGGTCCAGCGAAGTCAATGCGTTTCAGATCCATAAAATCGGTCAGATCTCCATATCTAAAAGATCCATTTTGGTACTGTCGGTTTCCCATACCCTCAAAGTTTGGTCGTGTTGGTGGTGGGTGGGGTTCCATGGTTGGTCTGTAGCACTGGTCGTTTGAGTACGGGGGGTAGAAAGGAAATGGATCTTGGGGTGTTTAGTTTTGGGAATGTTGGGTGCTTTGGTGATGTTGTGGTTGATGGTAAGTTAGGTTGGTTGGTTCATAATCTTCAGACAATCCTAGATCAGGGCTAAGGTTGGATGTTGAGGGGCTCATATTGTGATATGTAGTAGACCGAAATTGTGTGTGGGGTATGCGGGTGTATTGGTATTGTGATTGAAATTGTGGTTGGGTGTGAGGCATATGGGGGTATTGGTACTGAGGTTGTGATTATGGTTGGTTGTGGGGCATGTGGGTGTAATTGTATTGTGGTGGTGACTGTGGTTGGGTGTTTGTGGTTCTGTTTCGTCCGGGGGGGGTGTGGTGGGAGGTTGATGTGTGTTGGGTTTGTTGTTGGGGAAATGAGGGTTGTGCCCATTGTGCTCGTGGGTCAACCAAATACCTTGGATGAGACACGTGCATTTCTGGGGTACTAATCGACCTGTATCAAGCTAAATGTTGATCCGTGTGTCGCATATTACCATGGTTGAGGAAAACTGGGAATTGCAAGACGTGTCGGTGACGCCTCTGCCACATCTTACACCATTCTAGAGCAAAATCTTTCTAGTTGGTAAGACCCCATTGGGCGTCGACCCTTTTGAGATGCCACGGGGACAAACAACTCAGATCGCCGGGTATCTCTTGATGTATTCCAAACTGCATCTTGACACGGTCGCTGTAGTGCATCTCCACAACATTTAACCGTATGATTGCAGTCTTTGCGCTCCAAATTGTTGTATCCTCGGGGTTTGGTTCATGGTCCAAACCTAAATATGGTCTCCAGACAAACTGCAGATAAAATTAAATCAGCTTAATGAAAACGTAATAAATAAATAATTTAAAAGTAGAAAAGTTGAAAGGTATGACGTACATCATCTGGGCCAAGGTGATCCAATAGATTGCGGTATAGAGCAACATTGAATCTTGGATTCTTTCCGTAATCCATACCCCTCACGCAGTACCTAAAGGAATTGAAAAATATTTTATTTTTATCATATATTTGGAGAAGGCATCTCTGCATGCATGTAACACGATTGGACGTGAAGGGAGGCGTCATTGGACTTGGAGAAAGAATACAAAAATGAAAGGTGTCGCCATCTCTGTTGGCGAATAAGAGGTTGCATGGGTTGTAGTGTAGGTGCAGGCTAGGTGACAGCCTTGGAGAAGGCATCTCTGCATGCATATAACACAATTGGACGTGAAGGGAGGCGTCATTGGACTTGGCGAAAGAGTACAAAAATGAAAGGTGTCGCCATCCCTGTTGGTGAATAAGAGGTGGCATGGGTTGCAATGTAGGTGCAGGCTAGGTGACAGCCTTGGAGAAGGCATCTCTGCATGCATGTAACACAATTGGACATGAAGGGAGGCGCCTTAGAGGTTGCTTACTGTTGGTTTATTCAAATTCAGTACAACCTATTTAATCTTACATTTATCAAAACACTCCTACACTTAATCACTCAAACACTAGAATATTCAAAAATTCAAGCAATTAACTCAAATACTTCAAACCTTCAAACAGACAAACACAATGGCCTCTGCACCCCAATATGTGGTCAATGCACATTTCAACGGTGAGATATACATTTGTCCCACCTCTGGGTTTTTGTTTAGATACACTGAGAACATCCGATTTTGTTTAAACAGGAAAGCCAATTTCTTGTATTTCAAAAAACGATTGGAGGCCAAACTTGGACGAGGTCCTGTGACACAAATATTTTATCAGAATCCGTTTTTTTGGTAATAACCAAATAATACTTTATAAGGTTGAGGTTCAAGATGACGAGGACCTTCAGAATATGTTTTCCAGTCATGAGTATTCTGGGTACGACTCTATTGAGTTGTACATTATGCTGCGAGAGCCTTAGCTGTCACAAGTGGTTGATCCTCTGGAGACCGAACAAGCAGAAGTAGATGTCGTTGATGATGAAGAAGAAGACAACGAGTTGGAGTTTGAAGACATGGTCAACGATGATTCCGAAGACGATGGGATACCTAGTATTCCTTCAAACGAGATCTACACACCACCTCCGCACATGAGAAACTTCAACATGGGCGGAGATGAACCGTCTTCTGATTTATTTTTCAATCAGTATATGCAGTCGGATGAAAACTTAAAAGAGAAAGACAAATTTCGTAATAGAGAAGAATGTATCCGAGACATAAAAAAATTTCACATGCTCAACTCGGTCGATTTTAAGGTGGACCGTGTAAATCCAGAAAGGTACAAGATCAAGTGTGTCCACCCAAATTATATGTTCAAGCTGACTGCATCATACAAATTAAGAGGTGATTGTTAGGTCATAGGTTCTATGTCCACCCACACGTGTGTCAGTTCTACTAAAT